GTCAAAAAGCCTGTGTTTTTAAGGTTATTAACAAAGTTTGTGTACTCAGACCAGTAATATTTGGGGTCACAAGTTTTTGCCATGGATATTTTGTGGGTTAGAAGATAAAAAGGTTGGGAACCACTGCTCTAGACCACTCATCTGACCTCATCCAGACTAACTTATCCAGCAACTTAGTCAAGAAGTTTTAACTATATGAACCTAAGTTCAATTAATGTTTATGATAATATTAATATATTTAGAATCAATTTCAAATGCTATAAAAAGGAGTGATTCTCTGGTTAGAATCCCTGTTTTCTTTACACGCGTCTATGAGAGCAATTTATGAGAGAAGTTGCTTATCTGAAAAGTTTCCTGAGGTGGAATTCCTGAAAAGTGTAATTATTAACAGCGTTTGAGTATCCCTTAACCAACAACAATCAAAATCAATTCTAAAACAACTTGGACATGTATCTGGGCTTTAATCTCAACTGAAGCCTGACAAGGTTAAAATCATGCAAATTGATAATGTTAAGGTTAGTATAAAGGTTAACTTGTTTCACCCCCACTAGTGTTTGAGTGAATGTGTTATCTTAGTTACAGTATTTTAGGTCACCATCACGAGAGTCAAACTCTGGTCCTCAAGGGCCGCTACCCAGCATGTTCTCTTGTGTTCCTGCTCAAACACACATGATTTGCATTAATAGATGATTAATATGCTTCTACAGAATTTGAAGAGGTAATTGAGTCACTGCATCATGTGTTGGAGCAGAAAAACAAGAAAAAAACTTGTAGGATAGCAGCCCTTGAGGCCCTTAGTTTGACACCCCTGCAGAATATTGTTTTAAAAATCTTGGGCAAGTAGACTCTGTCAACTGGGTCTGTCTCCTCTCTGCAATTTCCTGTTTCTCTAAAATCAACACTTCAACTGAAGATTTTATGTGTTTGAAATGGAAAGTGATTTGTATTATGAAACTGAAGATTTACAACATAATACCTTGGCTGGGCCCTTTCATGAAAAACTGGAGAGATTTTATGCAGAATGTGAAAGACATGAAGGCCAACATGAGCAGGATCATAGCAGAGCTGAGGGAAACTCTGAACCTCGAGGTGCGCAGATGCTTTGTTGATGCATTTCTGATCCACAAGAAACATCTGGAGGTGAGGGGGGCACAACTCCAATTATTCTCTGCATGGCTGCAAATGTTGACCAATAGGTTTGCTGTGTCTTAACTTTATTTCATTCAAGGATACTGAGATCATGAATTCACACTATCATGACGACAATCTGGTGCACAGTGTGATGGATTTGATTGGAGCTGGAACTGAAACAACAGCAATGACTTTGATGTGGAGTCTCCTCTACATGGCCAAGTTTCCTCAAATTCAAGGTGCAAAACATTGCCTTGCCTCAGTTTTAAAGGTTAGATAAGTCTTAAACATAATCACAAATTGTATTTAATTCTAATGCTCATCAGATGGTGTTCAGGAGGAGCTGAGCAGGGTGGTTGGAAGCCGTCAGGTTGGGATGGAGGACAGGAAGAACTTGCCGTACACTGATGCTGTGATCCATGAGACACAGAGGTTTACAAACATTGCCCCTCTTGCTGTTCCTCAGTTCCCAAGTAAAGATATCACCTTACAAGGCTACTTCATCCAGAAGGTCATCTACATCTTTAAGATGCACTTTAACAAAATATTGACTTCGCCTGTTTCTGATGTCTGAAAAACATAATGTTGTTACCTAAGTCAATTCTTTCTTTCTTTTTTTAATACCAGGGAACAACAGTTCTTCCTCTTCTCACTTCCGTCCTGCATGATGAGAGTGAATGGGAGAGCCCTTACAGATTTAACCCGTCTCATTTCCTGGATAATGAGGGGAAATTCACCAGGAAAGGGGCCTTCATGCCCTTTGCTGCAGGTACTTTGCTGGGGTTTAGTCATCATCCATCACAAAATTTTAACTTTAGTTCAAAATATATTTGACAATAATTTTGTCACCTCTATTTTAGGACAACAAAGACTCTCATATGCAAACCATAATTCTCAGTCAGATGAGATAACACCTGTGTCACATGTTGTACCATCTTTGTAGGTCCCAGGGTGTGTCTTGGAGAGGGTCTGGCCAAAATGGAGCTCTTCCTGTTCTTCGCTTCCCTCTTGCAACATTTTCGTTTCACTCCCCCACCTGGTGTTTCAGAAGATGAACTGGATCTGGAACCAGTTGTAGGTTTTACTCTGGCTCCTAAACCTCATCAGCTGTGTGCTGTCCGTCGCCACTTTTAGAGAGCTTGATACTTGATTTTATTTTGTTCATATCCCTCAAGTGGTATTTTTAGTTTGGGCCTAACTTCATTAACACAAAATTTGACAGAAGTTCAAATGAGTGATTTGTTAACATGAAATAATTCCTGATAAAGTCAAAAAATATATATAGAGCTACATGCTCTTTCCAGCCAGGTCTGATGTTACATTTCTTATATTGTTTGTAATACGGTTTACCACTTTCATATAGAGCAGCCACAATATCATCATACATATTGCAAAGTTTACGGTTATGCTCAACAGTCTTGCACTTAACATCCCTGCACAACATAACAGGCAAATAAATATTGCTCAGATGTTTATCTGTATTATTATAAAATGGCAAGAAGTCATCTTCATTAAATGTTGACCAGTTTAACATTGGTACCCACTATTAGCAATGACTTTCTCAGTGGTGGTTGGCAATTGTTCCACATTTACAGTAAAACCAAAAGGTATATGGTCTGACACAGCCACCCCATATTTAATGTCATGTTTTCTAATGCTGCATGACCATCAGCTGTACCGATGCAATAATCCAGCCATGACGTACTATGCCAAGCCTCACTTATTTGTAGCTGTCTGCAGGCAGTAACACTTTGGTTGACAGAATAAAATTATTAACTTCACAGAAATTAATTAAGTGATTAGCAAACTGTGAATTGCTGTCTGAAAGTTCAGCATTGAAATCACCTACAACATATATACTGTAAGTATTGTTATCATGAGAATGCATTAATAAAAGTCAGTCTGCTAAGATATTCATCCTCATTCTCACAAGATTCACAGGGAGTATAAACATTAAGAATGACAACACTATTGTTATTTGGTGTATATTGTATACCAATACACCAGTCTACATCCAGCCTAATGGGTTTAATCACAGGTTCTAATTTTTTGTCCCATAGCACAGCACCCCCCCCCCCCCCCCCCCCCCCCCCCCCCCCCTGGTATTCTACCTCTGACTAAAGCTGTGCTGAGATCAGTTGTTGGCTGGAAAGAGCATGTAGCTGTTGTGTACCACGAGGAAGCTTGTGTAGCTTATAAATGTTGGGATATTGTTGGAAGACCTAAGCAAGGACCTGAGTTTGAACAAAAAAAATGTGCGAATGCCAGATACAAGTACGCCATTCATTTTATAACTAAAAATGAGCAAATGATGAGAGCAGATTCTTTGGCTACAAAAATGTTGTGTAATAATGGTAAACAATTTTGGAAAGAGGTGAAAAGTTTTAATAATTGTAAATCATCTCTGCCATCAACTGCTGAAGGAGCTACAGGGGCAGATAACATAGCAGCAGTATGGAGACAGCATTTTAGTGTATTGTTTAACTGCATACAAAATGAAGAATATGAGGATTATTGCAACATTAATGATGAATCTGTAATCATATTGGCAGATGAAGTAAAGCCATTCATAAATTATCTGATAATAAAGCTTGTGGGGTGGATCACATCACTGCTGAACATTTAAAACATGCTAGTTTAAGGCTAGCTCCTCTTTTAGCACTCTGTCTTTCAGGTCTTGTGATCCATGGCACACTCCCAGATTCAATGTTGGGTATTTTGCTTGTCCCAGTTACTAAAGATAAGGTTGGGAAAGTGAATTGCCGGATAATTATTGACCAATTGCGCTAGCCAGTGTTTTATCAAAAGTGTTAAAAAGAATTTTGTTAGATAGAATAAGTCTGTTCATTACTTCCCATGATAACCGGTTTGGCTTCAAACCAAAGCATGGCACTGATATGTGCATATATGCACTCAAAGAAATAGTGAATTTATATAGAGACAAAAACTCATCTATTCTTATGTGCTTTATTGATGCCTCAAAGGCTTTTGACAGAGTGAACCACAGAAAACTTTTTGATAAATTAAAGAGACAGGGAGTTCCTACATAATGTGAGGGTTCTTTCTTACTGGTATGCTCATCAGAAAATGCAGGTTAAATGGGGAAAAAGTATTTCTCCCCCATTTAATGTTAGCAATGGTGTTAAACAGGGTGGGATATTGTCTCCACTTTTGTTTAATGTATATGTTGATGATCTTTGTACACAGCCGAGAGCATGTAACACTGGATGTATGCTGGGTGAAACACTGGTGAATCACCTTATGTATGCAGATGACTTGGTAGTTTTTAGTCCAGGTAGTGCTGGCTTACAGCAGCTCCTTAATATTTGTACTGAATATGGTGTGGAATATGATATAAAGTACAATGCTGCTAAAAGTGCTAATTTGAAATGCGGAACCAAGCAGGATAAATTGCTAAATTTCCCTATGTTTGAATTATCCAACACTGTTCTTGAGGTTTTTAAAAAGGTGAAATACCTTGGTCATTTTATTAATGATCAACTGAACGATGATGATGATATATACAGACAACGCTGTAAGCGTTATGTGCAGGCAAACACAGTTGCACGAAAGTTTAGTTTTTGTTCAGTCCCAGTGAAAGTGGCTTTGTTTAAAGCTTACTGCACACCACTATATACTGCCCCCTTATGGGCATCTCACAAGCAATGCAGCATGCAGAAGCTGCAGGTTGCATATAATGATGCAATGAGAATTCTCCTCAGGATGCCCAGAGGGGGAAGTACTAATCAAATGTTTGTAGCGGTGGGTGTTTCCACATTCAAAGCACTTTTAAGACAGTTGAGGTTCAGCTTTAAAGAACGACTGGATGAATGTCGTAACAATATAATTTCATTGCTCACAGACCCAGCTGTGAGTAGTTATTGATATCTATCCAGCCTGCGAACACACTGGTTGAAATGTTTGTGTATGAATTGATCTTTAAGTAATTGCAAAATGTTTTTATTATTATGTTTTATTATATAGATTTTATGGATATATTTCTTTTTTATCCTTTTTATATTTGTTATTGTCTTATTGTTTTAAATGTACATATGGACGCAAAGTCTGCTAAAAAAGTTTGATTGATTGATATATGTGTATATTGTCTTTATTCTGACACACTTTAAAATCATTTTTTTCATGTTGCCTGCATGATTTGAGTTACATTTAATGTCTTGTCATAGATTCCTCAAATCATATACTGTAGGTATTTTCCATAATGTGGCAGACTATACTGCATGTTTCTTACATTGTTGTCCTTGTCCCATTGCATCAAACCAAAAAATACTTTACATTGATAGACCTCTGATGTGAACCTTGAAGTTGAAGCTGGGAAGAGACCAACCTCTGTAGACTGGCTGCCGTATAGTTTCAAGTCCTGCCCACTCTGTGTGAATGAGCTAAACAGTCACAATATACTGGGTGAAAATTGTGAGGTGTGCACTACCTATTAAGTGGTCTATCAGCTGAAGGTCCTGCTCAGATCCAGCAGCTAAACCATAACTGACATATTAAACAGCAAACCTGCTTTCCTCTACGATCCAGCTGTGATGGATAAAATCAATGAGCTAGTTAAACATGAAGCTGTACAACCTCCTTTCTTTCATCATCACTTCTACCATCTATTTGTCTATAGTTTTAAAGTACTGCTAAATGCAAGGGGAATATAGGTCCTGGGTTGATTTTGTCTCCTGTTCAGGATGACCATATGATAGATCCAGGTCAGGTTCCACTAGAAAATGTGGAATTTCAGGTCGGGGCTATTTGCAGATAAAAGAAACATTACCAGGGGTGGGAAAGAGGTCAGTGACTTAGGCTCAGAGGGCCTCAAAGGTGCAGCCCTCCTTCATCACCAGTCCGACAAACTCTGTTTCCATCTAAACCTCCAAATGGTGAAGATTTTTTTAGACTCCTCAAAACTTCTGATTGGAATTGAAAAGTAGAGAATATTCAAACAAAACAAAAATAGAAAATACAACAACACAAAACAAAAATAGAAAATACATCAACAAAAAAGCTAGATTGAAATGAAAGAGAAGTTTTACCACCAGGAACAGATATAATCAGAGTGAAACTCGAGATTTCAGGTGTAAACAATCAGCAAACTAAAACCAGGTGAAGTGAAGTGAAAACCAACAAAAGTGAATCAAAGTAAAGCTCTACAAAATAAAAGAGGATCTAAACTGTAGACTTGAATATAGATCACTAGATCGAGCCCCGCCCATACTGTTCACTGGTAGCGTCTGTGACAGCATGGAGGAGCAAAAATGGTGTCCAAAAAGGGCAACATCTCACAGCCACCATAGAAACTAATAGATAAACAGCAAGCTGAGCTGGATCTGTGTCATAAAAAATTAATAATAATAAATATTACCAGTAACTTAGAAAATGTTCTCTGTATACCTGATATGGCATGAAACTTGTCTCTATTAGCTCCTCAACAGGTCAGGTTCCTCTAACAGGAACCTAAAAATGCTTACATTTATAATAATATTTTACACTCTGTAGGTCTAAATATTAATCAGAGACATTTATAATATTTTACACTCTGTAGGTCTAAATATTAATCAGAGGACAAATCAACTGTAATATTTAATCATTTATGTTAAATTGTAGCATGATTTAGCAGTGCTACACTCTGTATTAATGCTCCACAAGCTAACATCTGCTAACCACTTCAATAAATAACAGTGATTACATCGACTTTAAAAGATTATTTTAATTTTAAACTGTTACATTATGTTCTGCTCAGATCACATTGAGCTAAATAAAATCAAATCTGCTGACTTGTGTTGTAAAATGAGACGTTTTCCTGCTTCTCTTCAGTTAATAAATCCATAACACAAACAGCTTTTCTGACATTATTTAAAACATTAGATAGMTTATATAAACTGTAAAATATTAATATTAATTGKRTTAATATTATTAWTAATAGTTTTAATGATTTCTACATCGTCAGTTCTTTTTTCTGCTCTGTTGTCAACGTGTACAGTAATGGTTAATCCGCACTCTTGCGCATTTTGCGTTAGCTGTTAGCTTCACCAGCCGATCACAGGGTCACGTTGTTTCTGCGCACTCCAGCTGTTCTAAACTCCTTGATGTAAACTGACCCAAACTCATAATGAGGAGGCAGATTCAAACAAAACCCCACAGACCCTGACAGGTGCACTTTTCATTTCATTTTTTCCATTTTCATTCCTATTTTTATTGTAATTCTAAAACAAGCCAACATAAAAGGATTTGTAAAAATGTGATGCGCTTTTAAAGATGACATTTTAATCAGGACTAAACAGGAAGTTCTGGTTGTGACATGTTTTTTTTTCCATTTGAATCAGGGTTTTCAGCTGTGAAAAGGTTGGAATGAAGCTTCAGGTCAAAAGGTTTGTGACTCAGAGGACTCAGCAGAAGCTCACAGGTGATGATAGAAACATGTTGGAGGATATTCTTCAGTCCCCCACTTCTGTCTCCCTGTTTGGGGTCTTTGTTGCTCTGCTGCTCCTCCACATTCTTCACTCCAGCTTCAGTTCCCAAAAACGACCAGAACCTCCAGGACCCAGACCCCTTCCTCTGTTTGGTAACCTGTTCCAGTTGGATCTGAAGAGACTCGACCAAAGTCTTTGTGATGTGAGTAATCTACTCAAAGACAGTTCTCCTCTTTTGAAATTGAATGTTTCTTTTAAGCTGCAAGTCTCACCTTTTTAGCTACTTTGTTTTTAGCTGTCCAAAACATATGGACCAGTTTTCCAAGTCCACTTGGGCCCAAAGAAGATTGTGGTTCTGGCAGGTTACAGGACCATCAAAGAAGCTCTGGTAAACCAGGCGGATGAGTTTGGAAACAGAGAAATATTGCCACTTTTTTATGATTTCAACCAGGGACATGGTAAGAAGGAGACAGCAAATAAAGTAAAAAATTGCCAAAATAAATTTTGTTTAGCTATTTTTTTTTCTGTTTTCAGGCATCATTTTTTCTAATGGAGACTCATGGAAAGAAATGAGGCGTTTTGCTCTGAAAACTCTGAGAGATTTTGGTATGAGCAAAAAGATGAGTGAAGAGATAATTATTGAGGAATGTGACTACTTGATTAAAGAATTTGAACAATTTGAAGGTAACTATTTTTAAGCACCACATTAAGTCATTTTCATAGAATCGAGTAATGATCACTTGAGCAATTTATGTTTTAATATTTTAAATTTTGCATCAGGTAAACCCTTCAACAACACCCAGTCTATCAATTATGCTGCTTCAAATGTGATATCAGCTCTGATGTTTGGTAAAAGATTTGAATACAAAAACCCTGTTTTCCAAAAGATGGTGGCCAGAGAAAGTGAAACTATTTATCTGACAGGATCCATTTCCATTATGGTAAGTCTCTTTCGAAGTTATTTTTAATAGTTATTTTTTTATGATGGGTCTATAGGCAGAATTTGCTTTTTCCAATGTTAGGTGATATATTTACTGAATTGTTTTTGTTATGCTGATCATTTAATAATAGTAATAATAGAGATAAAATAATATCATGAAGATCTCATGGATGTTATAATTTCATACCTTAACTCAAATCTTGCAGTTTGACTTTTTTAGATTTACAACTTATTTCCTTGGTTGGGCCCTTTCCTTAAAACCTGGCGGGATTTGATGAAGAAGACTGAAGACAGTAAGGCAGATCTGGAGAAGATAATCTCAGACCTGAAGGAAACTCTGCAGCCTGGGATCTGCACATGTTTTGTGGATGCATTTTTGATCCGTAAGAAACATCTGAAAGTAAGTAAACCTCAACGAGCCCAATCCCAGGTTGTAAATCTTCAAAAGTAATTCTCTGTTTTTTGTGTTTTATTAGGTTTTTGATGTCATGAACTCTCACTACCATGACGAGAACCTGCTCTACAGCGTGTGTAATTTGTTTGGAGCTGGATCTGATACCACAGCAGTTACACTAAAGTGGTGTCTCCTATTCATGGCCAAGTTTCCTCATATTCAAGGTGGGGTGGGGTGGGTCCTCAATGTCAGAATTGAAAGTTAACAGAGTTACAAATGATTGTTTTTAAATTTTAATGTGCATCCAGATGGTGTTCAGGAGGAGCTGAGCAGGGTGGTTGGAAGCCATCAGATTGGGATGGAGGACAGGAAGAACCTGCCGTACACTGATGCTGTGATCCACGAAATACAGAGACTTGCAAACATCGCCCCCATGGCTCTTCCTCACACAACGAGCAAAGATCTCACCTTCCAAGGCTACAACATCACAGAGGTCAGACTCAGATAATCCATTTATTAGAATTTTGTGATATCTGACACACAATCTTTTGTTTTCACGGTGCTTTTTTTCCGACAGGGAACAACAGTCATTCCTCTTCTCACATCTGTCCTGTATGATGAGAGTGAATGGGAGAGCCCTCACAGTTTTAACCCGTCTCATTTCCTGGATAATGAGGGTAAATTCATCAGGAGATATGCCTTCATACCTTTTTCTACAGGTACTTTGCTGAACTTTTAAACTTGACCATTTTGTTTTTGTTCACACAGAATTTTTTTTATTTTAATATTTTGCGAGTACTTCCTTTTTTTGGGGGGTGGTGGGTGGCTTTTGATATATAGCAAAGCCTGAATGCACAAAGATCCATCTCAGTCAGTTGACAAAATCTATTATGGTCCTCTTGGAGAAGGATTTGGGGTCAGTAGCTATTTTAACAAAAAAATCTTCCAATGCCCCACTGAACATGCTTCACACAATTTTTTGTTAAGACACACACACACACACACACACACACACACACACACACACACACACAC